TGTGGTTGGAAATGCACTTAAATGATCACTTTTCTTCTTGATTTCCTTGATTCTTTGTTTAGGTTACAGTGTTACTTGCAGCTGATTGATTGTTTTAAGGGTATTCTGTGTTGAAATGGGTGCAAATATTTTAATACATATCTAATATATTTCTAATACATTGCTCTTGTGTTGTTCTTTCACATAACTAAGACTATAGAAGTGTAAAAAATAGGCTAAGTCAGATTATTCCAAAGGACATACATGTCAAGTCAAGTCAATTTTTATTTATATAGCCCAAAATCACAAATCAGAATGAGGGGGTCCTTGGTGTATTCTCTATCTTGTAAGGGGTCCTTGGCTGAAAAACAATTGAGAACCTCTGCTCTAGAACACTCAGGTCTTCTGGGACTGGTCTTTTAATCAAACCCAAAGTCAGAACACAGACCCTCGGTGAGGCCTCTTTTTGTTATTACTGGCCAAGACCTGAGGGCAGACCCACATTTTTAAATGTAGCTTCTAACTGAATTGTATTTGTATTCTTTTTTTTATTATATATGTATATATATACAATATATGTGTGTTGTTACTAATGTAATTTTTAATCACAGTAATGAATGTTACTCTGGCTATTACATAAAGGGGAGATAGTTTATTTATAGATTGTCTATGTGTTTGAATTGTGAAGCATTTAGAGTTACCTTTGTGTCTGAAAAGTGCTTGATAAATCAAGTTTGATTTGATAATGGTGTGTGAAAAGCTTGTTTCATGTCAGAATGAGGCCTCTAGCTCAGTCCCTGTGTGTGTGTGCAGGAGGTGGACAGAGCGGTCAGGATGCTGGTGCAGCTGGAGCCGCTGCTGGGGGTGTACTCGGACACGGTGCGCTCCTACATGGCTGTGTGTCTGGGGGCTCACAGGAGCACCGGCAAGCTGCTGTCAGTGCTGGCCAACATCTTCAGCGAGCTCGCTCAGAAGGTAGGGGGCAACACAGTCTCTCATCAAGGGGTTCAAATAGGGTTTGCTTTGTGGGTGTGTGCTTTACTCTAAGGTTTTGATTATTCACATACGTGAAATATTTAATAACACTTTTACAAGAGCTTAATTTAGCCTCTTCATTTGATCTCAAAGTGCAATTATTTGATAGTGTTTAGATACTCCTCTGAATATATGTCTTTTTTACTGAGAATATTTATTTATATTGTGTTTACATTTTTTATGTTTGTCTTTATTTTATTTGTATTTTATTTTTTAAGAAATGTTGCTGCTGTGACAGGGAGGCAAGGAAGTGAAAGCAGTTTGTTTTAATTTAAATTTAAATAAATTATTTTTATTTTGTTTTTACAAAAATAAATATATGTATATAAACAGTATATATTTTTTCAATTCCCAATGAGTAATCATGATAAATAACTGATATGTTAATATTGTTGTTGGCCATAGTCTTGCAGGATAGTGTGTATTCAGTCAGTACTCGTGTCGTTTCCCTTCACCTTACTTTAGCAATACTGCAGTGAGTGGTCATCTAAAATGCAGTCCTGCAGTGGCATAAGCAGTGACTCAATGATTGTTGTGCCCCCCACCCCCCCCAGGGTTTCTGCCTGCCTCAGGAGCTGATGGCTGGTGGAGATGGAGAAGGAGCCACGGAGTTCCACGAGAATGAGGGCGGAGGAATAGGAGAGGGAGAGGGCTCCAAAGACGTCAGCGACAAGATCGAGAATGAGGATCAGGTAACTACACTTGTACATTTTCACAAAATAATCATGGTCAAATGTGACTTAATGCTTGTAGGAGCTTTCATCTTCTCTTGGTCTTAATTAGCTGAGCTTGTTTAGAACAAAAACTCACGTCAGCTGCTGAAGGCTGTGAGATGCGCTTTGAATTATGGGAAAGGCTAGGGGCACTGGTACACTGAAAACAGTGCTGCTTGTAACAAGTGAACATTTTCCTCAAGACTTTCTTGAAATAAGATCTTTTAATTAGCTGGGGAACCTAATTTTGAACTATTTGACCAAGATCAGGAAATGTTGTTACAAAATAAGCCAGAAATGCTCAAAAGTGTTCAAAAATACTCGGCAAGATTTCACGTTTTTGTAGTGTAACCTTTTTTCTTTCAAAACTAATCTCTAACATGTATAGTACCAATGACACGCCAATGCTACGGCTGAGAAGGGCAGCCTGGTTTCATATTACATTATGGGTCCTGTTCAACTGAGAAACATACAGACTATAGCAAAATAATTCAAGAGTGCTGAACACTTTGAAGAAGTTTAGACTATAAGTATTATAGTATAGTATATTTAAAAAAAAGACTAAGTATTAATGAATGAGTCATTGATTACCATAAACTGCTGAATGTCAGTTTTTTGTATATATAAACCCAAATTGTTCTTCCCCAGGTGGAGGACACTCTGCAGGAGGGTCAGGAGAAGGAGGAGGAGCAGGATAAAGGGAATATCAAGGCGGAGGACAACGCCATCGAGATGTCAGATGACTTTGATGGCCAGATGCATGATGGGGATGAGAATGAAGCAGGTAACCTGAAGCGTCGTCTCTGGGTGAATCCTTTCAATATGTGTCTCTTGACTTCCGCTTGCTGGCTACGTTAGGGACGGTTCAAGTCTAGTCTGAATGGATGATGATTTTCTTTATCCTTTGCAGGTGAAGATGAGGACTCGGGGAAAGAGGAGGACCAGGATCTGGATAAGAAGATGGGTGACCTGGGGGAAGGACAGACAGACACTCTGGATGAGAGGATGTGGGGGGATGATGATGATGATGATGATGAGGAGGAGGAAGGAAGTGACAAGGAGGAAGAGTCCGGCCAGGGCATGGATGAGGTACAGAGTCTCCACCAGGCTGTAAAGCAGCAGTTTACATGAACTGATCCACCGGTCAAATGTTGAATGAAACCTTTTGAAACCCATGACTTCTCCTGTCCCTGTTCTCAGGGAGAATCTGAGATGGTTGCTAACGACGACAACTTGGATGCTGCAGACCCCAACAAAGACAAGAAGAAGCAGGACAAAGATGAGCAGATGGACGTGGAGGAGAAAGAAAAGATCAATGAACAAGGAGATGAGGTAGTCACAACCACAGACCCCCCCCC